AATGGTTTCAATATACGGCATAACATAGCATAACATTAATCATTATAAGCGCTAATATTATCAATAATAATATAATAGTAATAATAGGAATAACATATAAATCATAGCAAATATTATGTCTGCATCAATTTAAATATATTTTAAAATAAAAATTTTTATTTTACCTGATATGATCACAATTAAAACTATTGTAATAAATCTCATATTTTTAAATAATAAATTTACTGTCAATTTTCTAATTAGGTTTTAACATAGTACCTTAATTAATTCAATTTATAATGTAAAAATGTTTTCACTTATATACTTACTTACAGGAACTTCTTTACCATGACACATTTCCTAATAAATTATTTATTTACACACAATTTGAATAACTTGGATACATAGGTATATTTAAATATTTAATATATGCAGGAAACAATAAATTTATTACTCATAATGGGATACGTGCTTGCACAATTATTATTGCAAAAGTTTTGTTTATTTTACGAACAATAACAACTAGTATAATTATAAAATTTGATGAGCAAAAAAGTTAGATTATTATTATTAATTAACAATAAAATATAAAGATTTGATTTTGATGATTTTGATTGAATTCAAGAATAAAATATATTCTCCCTCTCTCTCTCTCTCTCTCTCTCTCTCTCTCTCTCCCTCTCTCCCTCCCTCTCTCTTTCTCTCTCTCATTAACTTAAAATTTTGATATCACTACTGATAACAATGTCAAACAATATTATCACTTACACATATGACATCTAGGATAAAATATTGCCAAAACAAATATAATTTTGCTAATCATGCTTTGTCTTAAACATGATCAAAGTATAATTCTCAAATTATGAATCAAACAATATAGTGAAATAAATATTTGCTACAAATTAAATAATACAGTAGAGATTTATTTTGTTGTAAATAATAAAATTTTGCGAAATGTAATTATGACTATGTTTTTAGTAATAATGATGAAATTATTGTTATATAAACCTATCACAGAACTGTATTTTACACATGATAAAATGTTAGGATTATTTAAATACAAATCAAATAATATGGGTGCTGAAAAACTAATTAACCATGTAGATACAAGTTAAAAGCGCCAAAATTGAGCTCGATAAATAAGCACCATGCTTAATGGCCGATGATCCATCTGAGTCCGCGACGGGGGCAGGTTGCTTAGTGACCATGGGTGGCACAATCGGATCATTCACCTCTGGCCCCATAGTTTTGACCTCGGGAAAATTGGGCCCTTTATCCGGGATGACGGGCTCGCTGGACCCCTCCCTGGGCACAGTCTCCAACTCGTATCTGACCGAGGTGATGGTGTCCCGCAATTTGGCAGTGTTGGCTTCAATCTCGCTTTGAACCTGGGCCACGCCCAACAGATAAATTAATTGATCTAGTTGACTTTTGGCTTTGCCCAATCGCTCGATGGCAGCCCCATTGGTCATTGGTCGCAATTTGAGCGCGCTGATTGTGTCCTTTAGTTGTAAGCTTAGTTCAATGGCCTCTGCGTTAACATCGCTGCGTTCGTCGCGTTTCTCCCGGATGTTAGTGCCGGCGCAGGTGTCTGTAAAAATATAAGCATGTTAGTTATTTTGGATTTACTTACTAGTTACAATTATCAATGATAATTATTATTATATAAAGCTTTATGTAAGTTATATAAAATATTACAGAATACTTTTTTTAATCAAATTATTTAAATTAACATAGAAAACCTATTTAGTTAGATTTTATTTATTTAATTAGTCATTAAAAATATTTAAATATAAAGGTTACTTACATATAAATGTGGCGACAAGTAAAATGGTAATATAGTTCATGTTGAAATACTTTAAAATTTATAAAAAGTTGCTTGTTTGTAATCCGTGTTGGTATTGTATTTGAACTCTCACTCACACCCAACTACGTTAAAATTATTTTGTGAATAAAACAATATTTTTACGATGAAATAACAACGTTGTAATTTTGTACTAACGCCTCGTTTAAGATGTTGTTGTCTATACATATAATATACCGGTTTAACTGTTTTATTACATTATGGTTACATATTTATATCAATTGTAGCTAGGATACTTACCACTTGAAACAATGCGGTTTTAT